ACCTATAGTATTTATTGCCATTTCACCAATGCTTAGGACCACGCCGGGAACATAGCAGGTGCTCAGTACGTGCCTGTTGAATGAGTGAATGAAGATTCCATTCATCCTCCAGGTCTCAGCTCCAGTGTCAGGCTCTCTACTCCCTGACGCATGAATCACTCTTTGCTCTCAGCTCCTATAGTGCCGGAATAATTCTCAGTCGTCTCAATTATCACATGCATTACGGTGTTCATTTACTTCTTTATTTTCCGCACTAAGCTCTGAGCTGTGTGAATGCTATCAACTGAGTGTCTAGCACAGTGCCTGGCATATGGGAGATTTTAACTGTTGATCAACTAGAATTGAATAGTCCATAATTATCTGTGTGATAATAAATTTCCACAATGACTATGATGGGGTAGCTTTGGGGGCCATTTGACCTGAACCTTAAGCCTGAAGGTGCATGAAGTTATGTCTGCCTTTCAGTGACATGGGGAGGGGGGAGAGGAGGCCTGCTCATGTGCAGGTGCTTAACAAATATTTATTGTTGCCTTTCCATTTGATTTATTATCATCACTTGTTAGCATTTCTTAGTGACCTTTGCTTTAGATGAGTATATAACCTGGGTTGATACACCATAGAACAGTTGAGAATAAATAATCAGTTTTCAAAGAGAATCCCAATATAGCCCACATACGCAGAAATCCTGGTCAAGGTCTGTCCTTGCACCTTCTTCTTTTTTCCCTTCCCACTGCTTGCCCCACCCATCATCCTCGGCATCTCCCATCCAGGGCACAGCAGTCTCTATGCCATCGTCATCTCCCAGCTGCAGTACATTCTCTGTATCAGATTGCACTTCCTAAAACTCAGCACTAGTCTTGTCATTTCCCTGCTCAGAAACCATCCATGTTTCCCCATAATCCACAGAATCATTCTCTTAAAGCCAAATGATTTGATCCCAAACTACTTTTCCAAAAGCTGGTTCCAAAACTACCTGTCAAGAACCCTGTATGAACCATATATGCTTTAAAATATCCCACATCTAGACCTCTATGCTACCTTCTCTCCTCCCCTCCATCCAATTTCCATGTAGCCAAATCTTATCCATGCTTTAAATCCCAGCCCAAATACTACCTCCTCTAAGAAGGCTTTCCTGCTCATCTCTTCTGTCCTTGAATTCATATAAAACTGTTTTGGAATTTATACTTTACTCTTATTTTATTTATTTAACATGTTTTGGACTTCCATAAAATCATTCCCAGTTCACTGTTGGAATCTCCTTAGAATTTTCCCAGGCCTGAGCACAGTGTTTGGGTAGATAGTAGGAATTCACTACATTTTGATAAACATTTTTTAAATTACAAAAGTAATACATGCGCATGTAAAACTTGTAAATAGTGCAAAGAAGTTACCGAATGAAAAGCATGAATTCAACAACCCTTTTCCCAACTCACTTCTTCTAAATTCCCCAGGTGTAACCACTATTATATAAATTTCTTATGTATTCTCTAGAAAATTTTATATGAATATACAAGGATATAGACATAACTTCTTTTACACAAATGGTATCATAATTTGTACCTTGCCTTTTTCAACAATAGATCTTGGAGATTTCTTCATATCATATACGGATTTACCCAATCTTGTTAATGCCTGGATAGCATTCTACTGATGGTACAAATGCCCTCTAAGTACATGTAGACTACAGGCATTCCCCGAGTTATGGACGAGATATGTTCCTGAGAACATCATTATGTCGGGTTTGTATGTAACTCTGATCTCTGATGAACAGAGCGTGTATAGTAATAATAATAATAACAACAATACTATAATGGCTCATAGGTGGTAATAATAATACAGTGTAACACTGTAATAATACCCCTGTACTGTAATAATAAGTTACAGAAACTATTGTGCTGTTTTTTTTAAATTCAAACAAGCAGAACATAAAAACATACTCATACAAAAAGTTTAGTTAGGAGATAGGAGAAATTTCAAAAAAGAATATTGAAAGTTAATACCTAATATTGTGTCAGTGCTGGGTTAATGCGTGTTATGCTTCTTTTGATCTAATCAAATCAATAACCTTTCTATTTCAATAATTAATCCACTATGCTGCTTAGTAATAGTTGAGGCTTTCATTGGAGCACTGCCTTCCACATGTTCCATTATTCTCACTTTATCCTTTACAATTGTTGTATAGTCCAGCCACTGGAGCCCAGTGTTTTCCCAATGAATGATGGCGGCTGGCCTTTCTCTGAACTCTTATTTCTACTTTCGTTTCCATTCTAATCACCTTTCTCTTCGCTGAAGGCTCACCTGGACTTGTAGTAGACTTTCACTTCGGAGATATGGTCATAAGGGTAACACAGACTCACAAAATCAAATAAAAAAGTTAAGACGAAAGTGATGCTGTGTGTAAGCGACTGTATAACAAACAGTAAGACCAGCCACCTGTGTCTGTGCCAACGAACTGCACCAACGAACTGCCTACTGCATGCAGGTTTGTTTATACATGTGGAAGAAACTAGTTCCCAAATTATTAATTATTTAATTATGTTATCCTTATGGGGAGCCTTGGGAGCCCGTTTGTAAGTACAGAACACTGTAAGTCGGGTTGTCTGTAACCCTGGGACTGCCTGTATTTCCAATTCGCATGTGTTTGTGCAGTCATAACTGTAAGATAAACTTTTATTAGTGAAATTTTGGGTCAAAAGTTATATCCATGCCTGTTATGTTTTGGGCACATTTCCAGTCAAAGAAGCTGCGTCAGCATGTGCAAGCGTCTGCTTCCCAGCTCTCTAATTACCTTGGGGATTTTCATAGTTTCATTTCTTGCCCATTGAATAGACAAAATGGTATCTCATTAATCTTTTGATTTGTATTTCTTCAATTATAAATAAGATGATTTTTTTCATCTTTCTTTTTTATATTTTTTTCTGAAAATCTGCTCTTGTACTTTGCCCATTTTTCTATTGATTTTTAAAAGCTCTTTATATGTTAATAAAGTTTTTTTCTGTCAGTTTATCAATAATCTTTTATTTACAATTGATACAAAATGAAGTCAATCTGTGTGTGTCTTTTGTGTGTGTGTGTGTGTGTCTTATTTTAAAAAAATGTTTTAGCTTTATACACAGAATTTAGAAAAAAATCCAAAAAAAGAAGACAAACAACTCAAGCTAAAAGTGGGTAAACAGATATGAATATTCAATTCTCAAAAGAGGAACTACCAATGGCTAAAAAATATATTAAAACATTACGAGTGATTTTGAGAATATTTTTATACATTTTTTAGCCATTGGTAATTCCTCTTTTGTTTCCAAACAACACACACACACACACACACACACACACTGATTGTAAAAAACTACTAACAAACAGAAGACAGTCGTACATTAAGGAGAAAATACACTGTTTAAGTGTGGTCCAATCCAAGAAATCAAGGATGGTTTCATGTTAGGAAAATTATTAGTTTAATTATATATTCATAGACGAAAGGTTAGAAACTGACTTGCCAGCATTCTTTGCTAAAACTGGATTTTACAAAGAAGTACATAGATGGGCCTAAGGGGAGGCTCAGAAGCCTGGCTAAAGTTTGGTCAAGCAAAGAATCTTTGTCACCCATGAATGACCTTCCATGCTTCTTAGAATTGGGGATCTACGAAGACAACAGCGATTGTCATTACTAATAGAATATGCTGCGGATGTAGGTATGCGAAAGATAGCCTGTATCCCCAGTAGCATTTAGAGAGAGAAATATATCAATACATATTCTATTAGTAATGACAATCACTTTTGTCTATAGTCAGGCTTCTGAAGCTTCTCCTAGGCCCATCTGTGCACTTCCTTGTAAAATCCAGTTTTTTTTCAAGAACCCTAAGTCAGTTTGACAAGAACCCCGTACCCTTTATCCTCCACCATCCCCCAGGTGATGTCTGATCACACTGGCCTGTCGTTAGCTAGAATCCTGTTAGGTCAGTTTAGCCAGAATCCCCCTCGCTCTGATGTTTCTTTTAGTAATTTTCTATCCACTGACCCCCACCCTGGTCCTTGACTGTAAATTCCAACTTGCCCATACTGTATTTGGAGTAGAGCCCAATCTCTCTTCTGCACTGCAAAAACCCATCGCAGTGGTCCCTATACCTATCGTGGTGGTCCTGAATAAAGTCTTGCTAACCCAGAAGTGTCACTAAATAATTTTTCTTTAATAAGAGACATTCGGATTTTAATTACTGTAACAGGTAGGAAAAAAGGTTCAGTGGTCTCCGCTTTACGAAGAAGAAAATACACAAACATAGGAGGTTTCCAGTGATTTCTGTTCAAGATTGCTTTCTAAACTGGGCACAAACAAATTCCTTCAGCAAGGTATCTCTGATAATGCGGCCTGTAATTTCATTCATATTTAACTCAGATTCTGGAAATGCCAGATAAGTTTTAACACAAACAAGTCATTTGAGAAATCCAGGTCTCTGTTTCTTCACCTATAAAATGGTGACTGCTTATGCTTGCCTTGATAGACTACAAGAAGGGTGAAAGGAAATGATGTTGAAGCCCTTTACAAATCTAACAAAATGTGAAATATTATTAGTATTTTAAGTATTGCAGGAAGATGCAGCAGAATAAATAGTCTTTCAGATGGAAATTTCAAAAATAATTCCTAGTCTTTTCCATACTAAACAAACACACCTCCGGAGGAGGAGACCTCTCTGACATGTTTACCTTCTCTCCATCCCCTCTCACCTCCCATGCTTCCTGCAGCCCTTCCCTGCACCCCCCACACCCCCTCCTGCTCCTACAGAGTCTGCTGGTGTGGCCTTTACACCAGGAGAGCAGGGCAGATGGAGGAGCACGGACAGACACATTCCTTCCATCCTCTACTGGCAATGTCTACTTTTTCTCACTCCAACATCGGGGCTACAAAGTCAGAGTGAAATACTAAGGAACATTAATCCTTTAATGTATGGCTGCCATTGCTACGTTCAACATAAAGTTTCACACGTGTGGAAGATGCGGCTACTCACGAGACACAGAGGCACAGGACGCCTGGCATAGACTCGCTGTCTCTTAACAGAAAGTTGCCATCCACCCCTTCCTTGAGCAGCAAGGTCTCACAGTCTCGCTTGGTCAGAGGGCCGTGGTAATAAAGCAGATCCATGGAGAGCCCTCTCGTATCCCAGGCTGCCCTGTTAGCCTGACATTCAGCTCCAAGTCAAGGGATGGCTCTGAAGTGGGGTCAGCCGTGCCTCCTGTGGAAATACATCTTCCTCTAGCCTGTGGTGGGAGGAAGATGAGGTTGGTCTGTGGGACTGAGCCAGTTTTACCAGATTCAGGAAATGAGAAGGGTAGGGTGATGAAATGACCACGAAATGGCCGAAGTGTGACTTGCAGAAGTGGGTGAAAGCACATGTAAGTACATAGTGGAATCAGTGATGTTCATGGCTAAGGCTGTGATGCTGAAGTCAAGCTCCCAGGAACTGTGTTGCAGCCTTGTACATCACTGTACATCACCAGTTTTCACTTTCGCTGGCTACTGGTATCCTTTCCAGGAAACATACCGCTGCTTTTACTGTAATGGATACCCATTTCTGCTAAAGCTGCTTATGATTGGGCTACACTTAGCTCAGAATGGGTACTCAGAAAGTGTTTGGATGCTGAAAGAATTGATAAGTCGAGACACGATGGGAAAATTGAAAGGGTGGGATTTCCATGGATCAAATGATATTAAAAATGGAAGGCATCAACGGGAAAAGAAAGCAATTGACACCAATCGGGGAGAGGACAGCCTGTTGCATAGCTAAGGTTC